CTGATATGCCAAAGGACTATTCGCAAGCACACCACGGGGATTCAGCATCTACAATGGTCGCAAGACGGTGACTATCTGTTCAGCAGTGGTGGCTGTGAAGAATGTAAGGTTTTGGTACAATGCTGCAAAGCTGCTGCTGACTTCCTTCACAGTCTATGTATGGCGGATCCGGGACTTACCCGCCTCCGCTCTTGACATTGGAATCGTGTGCGAACATGTGTACACGCCAGAAAGTGAGCACGCAGATTTGAGACTCATGTCTTTCGATGTGACCACATCGGGATCCGCACATACTATCACGATGGTGTTCTCAGATTCCAGCATCAAGGTGAGCTGATCTCCGTATTCTCAATGTAGCATGGCGCTGATTCAACAAGATCTATCGTTATGATCCTGCCGCTACTGTCACATGGCAGCCTCTTGGAAAGGGTCTCTACTTTACATCCTGTTTGACACAGTGCAAGTTCCTCTCTAGAGAAAAGGTCTTGACAGCTGGTACCGATGGCCATATTGTAATATGGCCGCTAATGGCAGAAACCGAACGATCGCGTGGAAAATCCACTGGGTCAAATGATCATTTGACATGGCACCATCCGGCAAGGATACATCAAAGCTCCTCAAAAGCCATGACATCCCGAGCCATTAGTGCGGATACCTGGCTCATCGTATCCGGTGGTGACGATGGCAGTCTGGCGTGTGTACTCGCACAGTCTACGTCTTTGCCGTCGTCGACTTCGCCTACGACAACCCATGTTCCGCCACCCATCCTCGTCAGTCGCGCACATGGCTCTGCAGTAACGTCGTGCGCTCTCTTCAGACATAAATCACACATTTTCCTTGTCACATCAGGAAATGACGAGTGGATCAGATTGTGGCGGATTGTACTGCGTAAGGCTAACTCCGAAGCTGGAGCTGAAACTGCAGCACAGCATGAAGGCGCTCTGACGGTCCAGAGAATAAATAGAATCAAGACCAATGTTGCAGATGCGTCGAGTATGGCGGTGCTTGATGAAGGCAATGGTGGTGGCGATGCGAGGGTGCTGGTCTGTGGAGTGGGCATGGAAGTCATACGTATAGCTTTGGATGGGTGATAGACAATCGATAGGCATGATGGTCATTCGTCCGCACCCAAATGTCTGCTGCTGTGAGTTTGCACAGGTGCGATTGGCGGCCAAGCGATTGTTGCCGGAGCAACGCGTGTCCCGATGCGGCTAGTCGTCGTTCGCGCTTTGACAACATAACACGGCAAGCACGTCCACAACCTCGACTGAACCAGTCTCACCCCAGACCGACAACGACATACCACCAAGACAGCGAACATTGACAGACATCATGGTCGCTACACGTCGCGGTGCGAAAACCGCCCCAGAGGTCGCCTCTGCACCCCCCAACACGCTCAACGCCCCTCCCAAGCGCGGCAGGAAGAAGGCAGTCGAGGAAGCTGCTGAGCCAGCGCCTGCCCCGGCCAAACCCACAAAGACAACTGCTGTAAAACGCAAAGCCAGGGCTGAGCCTGAGGATGCTGAGCCGCCCATGGCCAAGAAGACTGTTGTGACAAAGGCCGCGCGCACCATCAAGGTCCAGACCAGAGCCGCACCCGCCCCTGCTCCAGCAGTGAGGGCGACGCGTGGTCGCAAAGCCGAGGATCCTGCCGCTACAGAGGAGCCCGAAGCCATTGAAGAGGCCCCTAAGCCAACAGACGCCCGTACGCGCAAGATCGCAGCAGTGAAAAAGGCACCTGTACCCAAGGTCGAGAAGCCTGCTGTCGCCCCAGAGCCTGCCGTCGAAGAAACAGCCAAGCCAGCATCAAGAGCTGTACGCAAAGCACCCGCAAAGAAGACACCCGTTTCCAAGAAGAGCGAGCCTGCATTTGTCGACAAGACCGTCGCCAGCGAGCCTGCTAAGCCAGCTTCCCGTACACGCAAAGCAGCAGTGCCAAAAGCCTCCGCACCCGCACCCGTCATTGTACCGAGAGCCACACGCGGTCGTAATGCCCCTGCAGTCCCACAGGAGTCGCCGCTCAAGGCTCCGGCCCGCAAGCTCACAAAGAAGGCTGCTGTTGTCACTAAGGCGAAGTCTGAGCCAGAGCCGGCCGCTCAAACAGTCGAGGAGCCTGTTGCGGAGATCATCGAGCAATCTGTTGTAGAGGCAGACGAACATGCAGTCATTGAAGAGGTGGAGCAGCCTGTCGTGGAGGCAATCGAGAAACCGTTCGCAGATTTCCCTACCTACCCGACAACCCCCTCCCACATCACTGCCCCCATGACCTCAAGAGAGGCCGTCGCCGAGCTTCCCGGCTACCCCACGACTCCCTCGCATATCCTCGCACCTTTGTCGAACAAGGCCGCTCTTACCGAACTCGCAGGATATCCCACGACACCTGCGCATATTGCTGCACCTGTCGCAATCGCTACACCCGAGGTTCAGGCCGAACTCATCGAGCATGGGTATAATGATGTCGCCATGAGCGATGTTGAGGAGAAAGAAGCAGTCGACCAGATTGAGGCTTGTCATACTTCTACAGCTGCCGAGAGCGCGGTCGAGGCCACAATAGAAGTGCCAGAGGGCCCTCAGCACGTCGAGAATCCGCACATTGTTGAAGAATCTGACTGCCAGGGCCGCCAGACTACAGCCGATGTCTCCTTGACACCGGCTGCAAAGACCCAGGTATCGGTCCAGCTAAAGACACCATACTATGATGCGACGCCCGCCCAGCGTTCGTGTTCGGAGATTTCTGGCACTCCACCTGCACAGATCGTCTGGGGCGTCACCGATCAGGAAGCATTCGAGGAGCTTCCTGAGGCGTACCCTGCCACACCCGCCCACATCATCGCGCCCATCACCTCCAAAGCAGCACTGGCCGAACTCCCGGGTTACCCCAAAACACCAGCTCATGTCAGCGCGCCTGTGACCTCCAAGGCAGCATTGGCCGAGCTCCCCGATTACCCCAAAACACCAGCTCATATTAAGGCACCAATGACTCCGCGTCGCGCTCTCGCTGAACTGCCCGACTACCCCACAACACCAAGCCTGGCTCTCGAGGCTGCTCTCCAGGAAGAGATCACTGCTTCAGTCAAGAAACAGACACCGTCACCTATAAGATTCTCAACTCTGAAGAACGACTCATTCGATCTCGAGGAACCAAGCGAGCTTGCCGACTTCACTGAGCTCACTGAAGCTAGCAAATACAGTGAGATCGCACCTACAGACACAGCTGTCGAGGCTTCTCCTTTTATTACTAATACAACCATGCATCTGGCTCCGCTCAAACTTGCACCTACTTTTGCAGCCCTCGAGCCAGTGTCACCGAAGAAGTCCGCGTTGCGATCACCTCAGAAGGTCATGGACGCTAAGACTCCTAAGAAGACTGTCGCTTGGACAGACGTTCCAGCAGACGAGAGCGATCTATTCCTCTACGAAGGCATCCTTCAGGGCATGGTCTTCTACGTCGATGTCACACGGAACGGTAGGGAGCAGAACTTCTTGTTCCGCGGTCTGCTCGAGGATCTGGGCGCAAAGGTAGTACAAGACATATCGCATGCGTCTCTTAGCCACGTTCTCTTCAAGGATGGAAGCATGTCCACACTGGAGAAGTGCCTTGAAAGCAAGGGAGCCATCAAGTGTGTCAACGTGGGGTGGGTGTTGGATAGTGAGTCAAACAAGAAGCGTATGGACGAAGACCATTACCTGGTCGACCTATCCGTTGCGAAGCCAGCAACTCCTCTGCCTACTACTACGGCGAAGCCATTCACACCTTTCAAGACTCCTTCCAAGTACGCGCTACCTCCTTCATCCCAGTGCAAGATGCCTAGCACTCCGACAAGTTCAGAGTTCGATCGCTCTTTCAATGACGACAAGGAAAACTGCGAAGTTGGCATGTTCTTCGACGACAAGAGCCCGCTTGCACCTCGCACACTTCCCGTCAAGAAGTCGTCTTTCTTGTTCAGCAGATCAGCCATCAAGACCCCATCAAAGTCCATCTTCCTTGGGGCGACGCCATCGAAAGCGACCTTGTCGGCTATGAAGCCTGCGCCTCAGGCCTTCACCACTGTCAAGAAGCGCCCCGCAGAGTCTTCCTTCTTCAACAGCTCCCTCGGTCCACCCAAGAAGCTGCGCCTCTTGTAGTCATGTCATCGATTCTGCTGGCATTCAAAATGCTTATTTTGTTTACGGAGTTTGGAATATCATGCAGGCATTGGGTAGGCGTGGATAGATCAAGGTGTTTGGTATCCGTTTCGCAAAGTTTCGGTCGTGCTGTTGTCATCCCTGTCATCCCTTCATCGCGGCTTGAGGGTTTCCATTGAGTGCTGCCTCCCTTAAAGGGTTGGCCTTCGTGGGAATCCAACATAGCCAGATGAAGGGCGCACATATGGCGTCTTTGCATACCTTGGCTCTTGCTTGTTCATTGTCTTTCTCTTGTGCGGTTACGTGGAGTCTTGCATGTTATGGATGGACGATGCTGTACGAAACACAGTTGAGCATTCTTGGCGTTCCTGGACACACGGGCACTCCAATGGAGACGACCACGATTAGGGTCACCTGCTTTTGTCTTATATTACCTATTGTCTCGTTTCGGTACGAATGACAGCACGAATGCTCCATGCTTTTACTCAATGGGTTGGGCTTGCGTAGGACCCATTGTCAACTGGCGGCCTTGCGAGTGACTAGTGTAATTCATTCATTGTACTAACATTACTTCTCATTCGAGAGCGCTGGTCGTACGGGTGTAAATGCAGTCCAATATGGTGCAGGCGCAAACACATCGAAAGTAACATCCCTGCAACATGTGCAATAGATGCATACTTTCTAAGCACGTTGGATTATCAGGGCTCAGGTGCTCTTCATTGTGATCAACTCGAGGGTCTAAGCCCTCCGATAATCCTATCCAAGCTACCGAAATTGGTCTAGTAGAAACACGGGCTGTCTATGTCGTTCATATCGCATGTAATGAAAATTTTGCGGTCCAGCGCCTGGCGCACCAGTATAGTGGTCTGGCGCATCTAGGCGCTGCCGTTGACCTTGCGTCCCTGAATAAGACCACGAATACCGCCCTTGCCACCTACTTCGCGAATGATGGCATTTATGCTCAGGTCGGCACCGATGTTGATCTGGACCTCGACCTTTCCTCCCTTCTTGACACCACGAACTGCAGCTTCGCTCAGCACTTGTCCAACCTTCCATGTCTTCTCCCGTAGCTCCTCTTCCTCTTCCTCGCTGTCGTCGTCGCTGTCATCCGAATCATCCTCGTCTTTTTCAGCCTTGGGCTTGGGCTCTGGCTTTGTGACCTTGATGTGTCGTGAGCCTTCCGCAAGCTTGATGAGCACGTCACCTCCCTCTCGTGGCGTTGCAATGGTCGCAGTGCGTCGGACAGGTAGTTGTGTCTCCGCGTCGACGATGGCGTGAAAAACGCCAGATGACTCATCACCCGAGATGCACAGCACACCAACAGCGGTGGAAAGGTGGGGTGTGACAGTGACCATAGGGTGGGTGCTTTGTTCAATGTCCTCAAGCTCAAACTCCTGGATAAGGCTGGCTTGGATAGCAGCACCACGGGCTGACAATTCCGAGGGGTTGATGGCTGATGGGGATGTGGAAGGTGCGAGGACGGTGGTGGATTCCGGGAAGGCTGAGCGTACCGCAGAAGCGACCTTGGGAGTGTGAGAGTTACCGCCAGCCAAGATAATCTCGGAGATGTCGAGAGGATCCAAGTTGGCCTTCTCCACAGCTTGAGTGACAAGACGAGTAAAGGCAGAGAACAACTTGCTTCCCAGGAGATCGTAGCGGGTGCGGTTGATGGTCGCGGTGAAGTCGGTGCCGCCTACTAAGCTCTCGACGGAGAAGTTGGCGGTGGTACCAATGGAAAGCGCCTTCTTGACAGCTTCGCACTCAAGCTTCAACTTGGCCAACGATCGGTCGTTTTCCCGAGGGTCACCGGCCGACTTGTGCTTCTTGAGGAACTCCTTGGCGAAATGTTCCATGAGCACTTGGTCGAGCTTGGAGCCACTGACATCGTAGTCGTGTAGAGTGGCCAGGATGGTGTAGATGCCGCCACGGGACGCAACCACAGCCACGTCCGAACGGGTGCCTCCCAGATCGGCGACGACGATGATCTTGTCAGCCAACTGCGCACCAGGACGGGCATCGTATGCTAGGACAGCAGCTGTGGGCTCGTGGATGAACTGTAGGACCTCGATGCCAGCGTTTGTCGACGCCTTCTTGAGGGCCTCCTTCTGGGCATCACTGAAGTTTGTGGGTACGGTGATGACGGCGGCGTTGACCTCCTTTCCAAGGTAGTCAGAGGCAGAACTCCGTAGTCTCTTCAGGTGACGTGTTGTGGCATCGATAACGGATACGGTGTTCTCCTGCTCGTCGGCGGTATCGCGGATGTTGAATGCAACGCCGTCCTCGTGCTGTACGGGATGGGCCGACTGGTGGCATGGGGAGGGGTCTATCGATTTGTAGCTGCAGGGTGTCAGTCGACGTGGTTGGACAGGTAGGATAGGATTGCCTACTCTTGGCCGAGGAAGTCGCGGAAGTAGGCGACTGTGTTCTTCGCATTGCGGACGAATTGGGTCTTGGCCTGGCCTCCGTGTAGTTCTTCTCCTTCGACGTAGGACAGGGCGGTAGGAATTTGACGGTCTTTTCAAGTGTTAGCAGTCGAGGGGATCCAGGGCGTGCAACAGGCGGCGTACCTCCGTCTTCGTTGGCGATGACCTCTGCTTTGCCTTCCTGTTATGCGTCAGAAACATCCAGAGACATTGGCGACAGACATGGGCACTTACACCCGAAGTGAAAGCAATGGAACTGTACGAGTTGCCAAAGGATATGCCTATCGCGACTCGCTGCGCGGGGTCCGCTTGCGCACTCATCTTGCGCGGGGAGACGTTTTCGGGTTACGGAAAGAGGATTCGAGTCAAACGAAAGCCGTTCAGTATCGACAATAAAGCGGCAGAGGCAGGTGAACAGAAGATAGCCGGCTGTGGTAGCGTTTGTAGCGCGTGTGTTTCTTCGCGGCTAAGAAATTCAGAGTCGTGCATTTTTCTCGGAAGCGCACGGGCTTCTCGGAATGAGCTCACTCGAGGGACGGCGCATGTTACCAGGTGCTCTACCACACCCAAGGACACCACTTTGCCAGCACTACCATGGCAGCCTCAGCCACTATCGTACTGCCTGGCGACAACATCGCGCAGAGCGCCCTCCCAACTGGCACAGGCAAAAAGAAGACGCTCACCCTCGGACCCGGTTTGCGACACACGCCGCCAGACACGGTCACGGCCACGGTCGCGGGCGCGCTCGTGACGGACAACAAGAAGAATGCCGCTTCGGTCGAGTTCAACACTGGAAGGGTGAGAGATCTATTCCGTCTCCTCCACCTTGCTTGCTAATCCCCTTGACAGTATCTTCCCTTTGCAGGCGACCTCGTCATCGCGACTGTGAATGGCTCTGCCGCCGAGAACTTCAATTGTCTCCTCACCCCGAACACGCCGGCTGCGACCCTACCCCACCTAGCCTTCGAGGGCGCGACCAAGAAGACGCGGCCCCAGCTGCCCCCAAACTCCCTGGTCTACTGTCGCGTCGCGAGCGCCGGCAAGGACCTACCATCAGAGCTCACCTGTGTCGATCCCTCCACGGGCAAGGGCGAAGGTCTCGGTCTGCTAAAGGGGGGTATGGTGTTCAAGATCAGCCTGGGTATGGCACGGAGGATGCTTGCAGCGCGCGGAGGCATATCTCTGTTGGAAACCCTGGGCTCCAAAATCGGGTTCGAGGTCACCGTCGGCCGAAACGGACTTGTGCACGTTGATGGAGGAAACGTCAAGACGACATTGGCGATTGGGCAGGCTATACAAGAGGTGGATGCTGCGGCCCTCGGAGACGAAGCACAGAAGAAGCTTGCTGCCGCGACGCTGAAGCAATGTTGAGGAAGATACGCGGATTGCTATGTCAGACTTTGCAATCGCACGATGGAAGGATGGCGCCATTGTCACGCACGTTGGTCTATGTGAAGACTGATCGTAGGCGGGCTATCAGCTGTTGGCGGACAACTGGCTGTGAAGGGCAAAACTCGACGTTTGCGACTAGCACGCGCGACGCATGAGAGATCGGCGTCCATGTCAATGCCAGACTGAGTTGTCGACGGATGTTACATTGCCAGATTCCGTTGATTATCTGCGTCTGGTCGCACTGGATGAAGGCTGTTGGAACCTAATGAGCCCGCCTGAGTACATTAGAAGTGTTCCAGCGAGAGCACATCTGGAGTATCACGATTAGGTGATCATAGGCGGCACACCCCGTTGGAAGCAAGCAGGTGTCGTAGAACAATTGTTCAAAGGAGTAGTGTGTTTGTAGGCTGAATGATGAACATGTAATATATTTATATTTCTCTAGTATCTGTGCTTGACACTACGGGTCGTGAGCTCCATGAGACGCGACGCCGTCATAGATCAACTCTCAATCTTTGTCTCGTGTCATACACGTCAGCTCCGAGACCGTATGCCAAACTCAGGACCCTTTTTGTACGAAAGGTGGTGTGTCTGCGCCCCTCATAGTGACCCATCCCTGCTAAGCCGACGCTGTCGAGCAGTGTTTCATCGTTCTCTTTTAGCAGATTATCTTTAGGGCACAACACGCTGGGGGTCTCGGGGGAACAGGCTGCACATTCTGATGTTAGGCAATCCGAGCCAGAATTGTACAATCCTCTCCAGACCGAAACCACCTCCGGCGTGCGGCGGGCAACCGTACTTGAAACAGTCTACGTAGTCCTTGGTTCCAGCACCGGCGGGATCAATCGGGGGATCATGCTTGCGCATCTGCTCTGCGAGCAGCTCTGAGTGATGGATACGCTGCGCACCCGAGCAGATCTCTTGACCCCTCATGAACATGTCATAAGAGTTTGAGAGAGCAGGGTCGGCGGGTGAGGGCATCGTATATGCGGGACGGATAGCAAGAGGGAATTGGTCCAGAGTGTAGAAGTCGGTGTTGTACTTCTCGAGAACAAGACGGCCAAGCATCTTCTCTTGAGGTGTTCTGGAAACATTAGTCAAGCCTTTGAGGATTTCTCTTTCGCACTTACGTCAGATCGTCGTAGTCTCCAAGCTCCTCACCAGCTTCGCGCAGCATCTTGATACCTTCTTGGAAAGGAATTCTGGGAACGTTTCCGGACTGAGGAAGCTTGAACTCATCGACGTGATACACTCCTCTTACAAGTTCTGTCTCTTTCTTGTACCGTGCGTTGAGCTCGTTGAAGATGAAGAGCATCAGGTCTTCCAGCACACTCATGACTTCATGGTAGTTCTCCTGGAATTCCATCTCAAGATCCAGTCCAGTGAACTCAGTCAAGTGACGGGCCGTGTTGGAGTTCTCAGCGCGGAATACGGGACCGATCTCCATGACCTTTTGGAAGCGGGAGGCGATCAACATTTGCTTGTAGAACTGTGGTGACTGAGCAAGGTAGGCGGGGCGACCGAAGTACTTCAGCTCGAAGACATTAGCACCTCCCTCAGAGGCAGCTCCACTAAATCTCATATTAGTATCTGCAACGAATCACGACACGAATAACATACAGAATCTTTGGAGTATGCACCAGAACGAAGCCCCTCTTCGAGAGGAACTCCTGGAACAAGGCGCAAACACCGCTCTTGATGACGAAGATAGATTGGTTGATCTTGGCTCGCAGATCAAGTGTCCGGTTGTTCAACCTTGTGTTCAGACTGACGAGTGGGCGCTCGCCACCTTCCTCCTCTTTCTGATCCTCTTCCGCAGCAGTCTCAGTCGGCATGGGCCGTTCTGCGTCCGACACTTGAAGCGGTAGCGGAATCTCAGCACTGGCCTCGACGAACAACTTCTGGACATGGATCTCGAAATCGGTGATACTGGCACTCTTGATGGGCTCCTTCACACGCTTCACTATACCCGTAACGACAAGTGTGCTCTCGGTGCTAACGCTGCCGCAGAATTTGACCATCTGCTTGCTCAGCTTGTCGCTGGCCGCAACGACAGCCTGCACAGTGTTGAGGTTTTGTCGCAGGTTCAAGAAAGCGAGCTTCGCAGATTGCACCCTTGCGTTCTCAACCCAGCACCTGAATGTAATTTCCTTGTCCTCATTGTTGGCGACATCGGTAAGCTCAGTGCGCGGAGTTCCCGTAGGCTTGTACTCTTTGGATCCAATGAGGGGAAGTTCGCCATATGCGCCTGCGGAAACGTCGGCGCCGTCATCGGCTTCTTTCTTGGTACGCTCAGCGAGTTCGCGGGCTTTGGCTGCGGCCTTCTTCTCTGCCTGGGCTACTGTTAATATTATGGACTTGACGGGAAAGAGACTCTACTGACCTTCTCTTTCTCTTTCTGCGCCTTCTTCAGCGCGTTCTTGGAGGGCGGCTCAGCGCCAGCAGCTGCGGCGTCACTCATTGTGGTTGGATTGGGGGTGTTTTGAGTCGCGTTGTTCTATAGTCAGACGTGTGCTAGGGACTCACATTTCCATAGTGGGGCAGCCGTGGATGAATCACAGCCCCGCTATCCCCGCGGCGTCATAGCCCACTACGGGATCCTTGAACACCTGGGCTGTCTAAGTAAAATACAATGCCCGCCTAATAGCTTCAATGGTTCAGGATACATGTTTCAACTCTCATACAATTACTAACTAATGCAGCTGGGTATAGTAAAAATTGTCATTCCCGCTCAAACCCAATGCTTCCCTGACGCCCTGCAGCAAAACAAGCCGCTATGCTTCATGGTACAAAAAAAGGTCGTGTCCTCAACGATCGTTTTGTGATTCAGCCGCCAGCGCAACTATCTCATTCTCTTTGCAGTCTCTCACTGCTGGGTGTCGTCGATAGTCAGCCTTCAGCCAACGATGGACGTTCGACTGGAGGTCGACGCGCTCGCGTTCCCATCCCAAAGTTTCACTGTCTTGACAGCTGAATGCTTTGGTTCGTGACATGAGAATATATTGACGTGAGTGTCGTTGGCCGCCGCCGCAGCAATCATCAGTCGATGAGGGTGAAATGCAGTGACCGAGATAGGGGCAGATCGATCGCGAAGGAAACCCGAATAGGGCTCAAGGTGCGACACAGGCTGGCCGTTGTTGATGTTGAAGATCTTCACACGATGTCGTTGCGTGCCACTACACACGTTAACGTTAACATGTTTCGTAACCTTGGAATGTGATGAGCACTTACGTGGCAAAAACGGGAGCATGTTCATGAACGCTGAGTGTTCTTAGGGTGTCGGAAGTTGCTTGGATAGTCTTCACGCTTCGGTCCCAGCGTATGTCCCATAGCTTGACCTCACCGCCACGGCAGCCGCTCACAAGTTCACGCTGTCCACCGCGCTGCAGGTGAACGTTGGTGATCCATTGCTTGTGCTCTTTCCAGACCTTGACCATGGCGGTGGCGGGCTTTTGGCGTTGATCGTATACTCGGATGGCACCATCACCAAAACCAGCAACAAAGACGTCTCCCTCGACTTGATCAGAGGTTAAGGATGTAATGCAAGAACCGGATCGTGCGGGAAGGTCCTACTCAGGTCAGCTACGACATCACGTATGCGGAGAGCGCAACTTACATTGGTGCATACTTCTGTCCCAGCGTTCCACACGCGAATGACCTTCACGTCGCCAGCAACTAGGATAAGACCTCTCCCTTGCTGCCAATCGAATACCAGACCGGCGTTTTTGTTACTCGAAACAAGATCGGTAAGCGCGCGGAATCCTGTCACTAGTTCTGTCTCTCCTTTACGGTCGTAATTGCGGAATATCTTGATTACACCATCCGACGATCCTGTCATTAGTAGTGCCTGGTCGTCCTCGTTGATGAATCGCACGTCCGTTATTCTTGACTCGGGAGGGTTCCCGTTAGAGAAAGAGTTGATTCTGTTG